AAAAAAAAAAAAAAAAAAAAAAAAAAAAAAAAAAAACTATAAAAATAATAATAAAATGAATAATTATTATAAATAGTAATCGTAATGTATAAATATAATTATAATAATGTTTAGAGTAATAGTGATAGGAATATATGAAAATAATAAAAATAATAAAAATAATAAATAATAGTAATAAATAATAATAAATAATAATAATAAATAAATAGTAATAACCATAAATATAATTTTTATTTTTTTCTATTATTGCTTTCTTTATAATTAGCAAATACAAATAAAAACAGAAAACAACAAAAAAGAAAAAAAAGAAGAAATTAAAATAAAGAGAGAATCTAAATAACAAAATAATAATTATAATAATTATTATTATAATATATTAATTAATATATTATAATTATTTTATTATCTCATAATATAAATTAATTTAAATAAATAAATAAATAAATAATAAAATAAATAAATAAATAAATAAATAAATAAATAAATAAATAATATATTTACACTAAGGCGGAGTTGGAAATATCTTGAAGCCTCGCAGAAGGAATTTTATCCAAAATATAAACTGTGCAGCCATCCTGTACAAATAAAAATAAATAAAAATAAATAAAAATAAATAAAAATAAATAAAAATAAATTAATTAATTAAAATATATTAAAATATATAAAAATAAATTAAAATAAATTAAAATAAGTTAAAATATGTTAAAATAAATTAAAAAATGAATTAAAATAAATTAAAAAATGAATTAAAATAAATTGAAGTAAATTAAAATAAATTAAACTAAAATAAATAAAAATAAATAAAAATAAATAAAAATAAATAAAAACAAATATTGAGGTGTATGCACAGCTCATTCATAATAGTAATAAATAGTTATAATAAAACAAAGGAAAATACAAAAGCACAAAAAACACAAACATACAACCAGAGAAGCGAACAAAAAAAAACAAAATAATAAAAATAAAAATAAAACAAAGAAGTAAAATAAAACAAAGAAAATAAACAAAAAGAAAATAAAACAAAAAGAAAAAAACAAAAAATTAAAAAAAAAAATATTTAATTTCTTACTAAATGCTTCAACCAAACTTCTCTTCCGCCCGCCACGCCCGGCCCCACAAAAACCCTAAAACACAAAACATAAATATAACTGCATGCATGCATGCATGCATGCATGCATTCATGCAGTTATGTAGCTATATATGCATGCATGCACGCATGCGTGCATGCAGTTATATTTATATGCTGGCAGCTATATTCGCATACACGCATGCATGCATGCAGACAGTTATATTTGCATGCATGCACGCATGCATGCATGCACGCATGCATGCATGCATGTATGGTTGCATGCATGCATGCATGCATGTAAAGGGCATGAATGAATGCATGCATGCATACAAGTAGAGTTCATGCATGCAAGCAATCAACTGCAAGTAGCATGTCTCCTTGCTGGTGAATTTATATTATTTTATTTTAATTTAATTTATTTTATTTTATTTTATTTATTTTATTTTATTTTATTTTTATTATATTTAAGAGTGTTTATGCGTATAAAGAATATAAGACGGACGTGCTGTTAGATACACCCGAGATGAGCAGCGCATCGTTTGGTGTTTTTTCTGTTTCATTATTTTTATTTATTTCTGTTGATTTTGCTTCTTCTTTTTTCTTCTCCTTTTCTTTATCTGCAGCAGCTGCTGCTCCTGCTGCAGCATCTGAAGCGCAAGGAACTGCTGCTGCTGCTGCTGCTGCTGCTGCTGCTGGCGCTGCTGCTGCACCAGGCGCTGCTGGTTCTGTTGCAGCAGGTTCTGCTGCTGCAGCAGGTGCTGCTGCTGCTGCTGCTGAAGGTGCTGCTGCTGCTGCTGCTGCAGGTGCTGCTGCTGCTGCTGCTGCAGGTGCTGCAGCAGCAGCTGCAGCACGTTTAAATGAGAACGGCTTAGAGAGTGTCTTTTGCTGGCAGTGTGCAGCGAGAAGCTCGGATGCGCGTGAAAGGATCTGCAGCAGCAGCAACAGCAGCAGCAGCAGCCACAGCAGCAGCAGCAGCAGCAGCAGCAGCATAAGGAGCAGGAGAAATCCAGGTGTATGTGCATGTACACTGCAGCAATCCATGAATAGCTGCTGCTGCTGCTGCTGCTGCTCACCCTCTCCTGCTGCAGCAGAACCGCCTCGGGGGCTTCACCAGAAATTCTTAGCTGGCGGATCTTTTCTTCGTTTGCTGCAACGCGCTGCAGCAGCTCTGCTGTATTCAAGTTTTCAGTATTCTCTTTTATAGCTGATGATATTTCCTGCTGTGTTTCTGCATGCATGCATAAATATATACTCTATTAAACACCCTAAACCCTAAACCCTAAACCCTAAAGCCTTGAAAAAGGAAAAATGCAGCAGTGTGTGCAGCAACCCTAGAACATGCATGCAGGAGCATTCATGTAAACAAAAAAATATATAAACGCATGCAATTTGTGAATAAAAACAAATAAAAAGTAAATGTGTAGGTAAGAAACACCCTAAACCCTAAACCCTAAACCCTAAACCCTTGAAAAAGTAATGAGGAGAGGAGCGCCGCAGCAAGAAAGCGCTAATGCTGAAACTCACCGCGGACGGAAACTTCGAGTTCTATGATTTTTTCTTTTGTAGTTTTCGTCATTTTGAGTTGAAATCGATGAAAAATATTCAAATTTTTGCAAATGCAGCATCCGGGCTGCTGAAACCGGCAGACTTCACATCTGAATATATTCAACTAATTCATGAATTTCGGGTTTATAATTACTAATTATTCATTTATTTATATAAATATGCAGATAAACATGCAAGAGAAGCCGCATAGAACACAGTATTTAATGCTGGTTTCCTACCACCAGCCACTGAAGGGGGGGTTGGTTGCTTGCTTCCTGCAAGCAGAGGGAGTAACTGAGTTAGATCTTCGTCTCAATTTATTCATAAATCTTTATTGAGTCTTTATTTATCAATAAAAATAAAATTTCTTCAAAAAAAATAAATTTTTTGTTGCTTTTTCATCAGCGATGAGGCGCACGGTGGGGCGTGTAGGCGCAGCCGACGGAAACCGCAATTCAACTTCAGCCCGATCCTGCTGAGCCTCCTCTGCTCCTTTCTTCTAAACTTTCGCGGTAACTTTATTTTAATATTCAAAAAATATCATTAAAAAAGTATTTTATTTTCATAAATTAACAAATATACTCAATAAAACAGCCAGGGAGACGGAAAACCCTACCCTCACCCCCTCCCTGAACCCTAAACCCTAAACCCTAAACCCTAAACCCTAAACCCTATTTCCTCCGCTGCAACACTCAGTCTGTTTCAGTCTGTTTTTAACTACTATAAGTTCGATTTTCCTTGCTAAATGAGCAGCATATAAATTTTTTTATATCGGTTTGTTGGGTTTAGGGTTTAGGGTTTAGGGTTTAGGGTTTAGGGTTTACTAGCATCCACCATTGCCTACCCTTAAACCCTCAACACTGGCCGTCTAAATTTTATTTTTTTTTAAGACTTCTTATCAAGTCTGTTCTCAGGTGTATGTGCACCTCCACTTGAAAGACAAGGCATCTATAATAAGCCGCGTAGCGTTAGTTAAACCCTAAACCCTAAACTCTAAACCCTAAACCCTAAACCCTAAACCCTAAATACA